GACCTACTGCACCAGTCCTTTTTATAGGTTGTGTTGGGTCGGACTAAGTTGAGGACCACCAGGACTAAGTGGGAATCTACCCCAAGGATTCCGAATTTCACGGCCCCGGAACCACCCCGGCTCCCTAAAGAGGTACAAGGGAGGTCTCATACTTCGAAAGTCAGGGTTTGCGTCTAAATTTAAAAAATATCTCATTAGAATGAGAAAACATGGAAAATTTTAACCCAAATTGACACCAAGAAATCCAAAATCGGCCGATCTGTGTTCGAAATACTGACCTCCGAAGGTGAGGACAGAGCCCCCCCCCCCCCCCCCAAAAAATGCAAGTTCGCTAAATTGACACAGAGGCTCTGAAAAAAGATGTTTTCATGAGTAATCAACTCGGAGGAATCAGAATTTTGGGGGTTTCCTCGTCCCCATAGGCTTCTCTGGTGCAGCACAGGGAGGAACCTGAACTTTTAAAAACCAGTGTGGGGTCCCCACTGTACCCCACCTGAGAAGCTTCTGGGGACAAGGGGTTCCCCAGATTCTGATTCCTTGAGGTCAATTATTACCCATGAAAACATATTTTTCAGAGCCTCCACGTTAATTCAGTGATCTCCCAGTTTTTGAAGAGGGGACTCTGTCTCCCACCTACTGGGGTCAGTATTTTGGACACGGATTGGTCGATTTTGGATTTCTTAGTGTCAATTTAGGTTAACATTTTTCGTGCTTTCTTAGGCCGATGATACATTTTTAAAAATTTGTCGTAAACCCTGATGTTTGAAGTATGGAACCTCCCTTGTACCTCCTAAGGGAACCGGGGTGGCTCAAAAACAGTGGAATTCGGAATCCTTGGGCTCGATCCCCTCCTTGTCCTAGTGGTCCTCACCTTGGTCCGACTTAAAATAACCGAATAAAAGGCCTGGTGCAGTAGGTCTGGGTGACTCTGTGTAAAGAGAGGAAGATTTTTTAAGGGAAAGGTGCCCCATATAAAATCTCAAAATCAACTCCAACCTGAAATATATCAATGTGTGCAGGTGTGAAATAATAATCATACGTAATACAGACATCACTCAACTATTTCTACCTCCTTGGTATTGATCTTTAATATTTTATTTCTTCAAATCAATGTCTTGACATCTCATCGTGTGCATACATTTTCTTCAAAATGTGAAGGATAAATGTATTATTTATTGCTGGGAATTGTTCCTTCTTTAATCGCCCCCTGTCGTCTCAATATGTTCTAATTTCAACCTCATTATCCAGGGAACGAGCTCGTCGACACCATGAGTATTATGATAGTGATGCAAAACACAGTGATTCCTCCAGTTCTTCCTCCGGATCAAGATCTAGGTCGAGATCAAAATCCAAATCGCCTGAGAAATCTAAACACTCAAGGTAAGTCAAACTCTTCCTACTAGTGCTGTAACTGTGTGCTTTTAAAGGAAATTATTTTCTTGATTATTGCAAGAACCAGCATTATTTGAAACCTTGCTTTCTTTGATACTTCAAGAATATTTTGAAGAAGAGAACCTTAAATCAGCAGTGGATTTATTGAAGGAAACTGGGTTACATCGTATTTCACTCATTGTCAGTTCCTTATCAATGTGTTTGTAGCTGGTGCCTGATCTCTACAGCCTGTGCTACTACATCGGACAGAGTAAAAATTAAAGCATTTCATTCGGAGAACTGCAACATGGTGAGCAGCCGTCGGGTCCAGATTGGGCTCACTGTGGTATTGTTCTTATTATGTCCTTGCACTGGGTCTCGAACGGCCCGGCCTTCTCAACGACCTTCAGTCTATTGGTAGCCAAAACTTTTCCAGCCAATTTTTTATCATTGGTAAAGTATCTCTCTTTTTGATGGATTCGAATATTAGCTGAAACTTCTGATGAAAAATATGAGTAATTTTCGGTTCCTTATTGCATCACAAAATTCGCAAATTTCTGCCGTGCTTTTAAAGTAAGTACTTTCCATCACATTTTTCCTATATTTTGATCAGTAATTCACCAATATATTTACTGAAAATTATATACTTACATTTTTCATGAGGATTGCAGCGTTAATTCAAATCTGTTGAAATAAAGGGGAAATTGACAGATTACAAATTAGAAATAATTTTTTGGAAAAATTTTGGCTACCAGTAAACTGAGGGCCATTTTGATAAGGTTCGAACTGACAAGCAAAGACCCGGTGTGGACACAAAGGAAAAAATGCCGGTGAACCCGGTCCTTGGACAGCAGCTCCTCGCCAGGATCAGATGTTCGGGGTGACCAGCGACCAGGAAATGTCAGGGAACGCAAGACGGCCGGGAAAAAGTAGGAAAAAGTCAGGGAATTTTTTGTGGAGCCGGGTTTCGCGTAAAAATCGGATCCGCGACGGGCCAGCTGGTCGCGTTATTGTGCCGACGTGCCAACCGGGTGGAGCCCTTAAGCGGTGTTTCCGATGAATATAGGTCAGGGAATTTCATTAGCAGTCAGAGAAAAGTCAGGGAATGATAAAATGAAATTTTGTTTGTCACCCTGGATGTTACAATCCTCTATCCGCATGAAAATGCCCCTTTTTTTACTCTGCTATTTTAATCATGTACTCCAACCATGAGACATGAGATTGAGTATCCCACTGACCCCTGGTGATAGATAATTTGTGAACTATACTTACCGCATTTCTGTTGTATCTTCTTTACAGGAGTCACATCTCAGAAGAAGAAGAAGAAGAAGAAGATGTGAAACGAGACCATTACGAACGGGTTAGTGCTCGTGACACTGAGCCTTATAGACCCAATGATAGGTACCCTCGAGATCGATACCAACCAGATGACAAGTACCGAGAGCGATATGTAGAAAGAGACTACAGGCACATAGAAAGAGACAGTCGAAATGTAGGTAGATTCGACAGGAGTCGGAATTATGGAGATGGTCACAGCTATGATCAAGGAAGTCGATACAACGCAGAGAGGAGTAACTACTACAAAGAACAACCTCCGTTCAATCGGGATGATAGCCACAGTAGAAATTCAGATGATGAACCTGTATCTAGAAGGTAATGTTGCTCTGCAGTTTCTATATCTTTTTATCTCTCTATCCCCTACAAGGTAACAAGTTCTGGAGAAGTCAGCAAATTTTATTGAATTGAGAAAAGTTAGCTTAATGTCCGGAAATTCTGCTTATCCAACCTTGAATTTTCTTGTGCTGTCAAAATTTCAACGTGGTTTAGATTGCACCCAGAGTTTGTGTTGGCACAGTTCAATCATTTTCGTACTAGGTGTAGTGTTTGAAAGAAAATTTCATTCTCAATATTTTCATGAAATCAAGAAATGTTAAATGGAACGAAAGTTGTATTTTGTGTAGTCTACTTCCAGCCTTCTTACCTTGTTGATTGTTTTGCAATTACCAAGGAATTAATGTTGCGATATTGTATTTTGTGAATATAACATGAGATGTGGTTAAAAATCCGAAACTTTTCAATTGTGGCGTCCAGAAAATACCCGTGATCCATGGTCCGTGCAGTTGTGCAATGATAATGATTGCGCAAACCACAAATCCCGACAGAAGGGTCCTGCGGTCACCACCTTAGCTTTCGTGGCAATACATGTTTAAATGAAAGCTCAAAATATGCAACTTTGAACTAACTTTTCATTGTTTAAAAGAATTTCAAAAAGTCTGGGAAAACTCCTGTGAATAGAGTCCCCCTTTACTTTTTACAAATACAAGCGTTTAATTTATTTAATATTGAACAATCTCATTAAAATTTAGTTATCATTAACCATTTAAAAATACAAGTTTCTGCTTTACCGTTTCAAATATTGAGTCAGAGGGGGTGAAGTTTTTCTTTGATATTTATCACGTGATTAAACGACATTTATTTGTTTGTATTTTTCAGATCTTTGGTCAACTACTGAATTTCAAGAAGAAAAATTTATGCTCACCGTACTAGGCACTGCAATCATAGACTTATATTTTCAAATAATTGATTTGATTTATTTTGAAAATCTAGTTCCTCTCCATAAATTTTTGTATGTATATTATTCTTTAATTGCTTAGTAAAGTTTTATCTATTTCAAAATGATGCTCTGTCTCATTCTTCTTCCAATTTAATAGGTTCCATATGAATGTATAAATATGTGTTTATTTCTGTAGCGTAAGAAAAAGACTTGCCGAAAGGGTGAACTTCTTTGCATACTTCTAAAAAGCTTCACAATTAGGATGACTTTATCTACAGGTACTTAAGTTGCTTTCAGTCCTCGTCAGTTGATGATAGTAACTGACAAATCAAGGGCTTAGGAACAAAACTGTCTAACTGACAATTTTGGCAAAAATTAGTTCGGGTTTTTGCCGCATTCTTCAGTGTAAAATAGGCAAGCTGATTTCTCTAGTTGCTTCCAATTCCGCGCGGGACCGCTGTAATGTATTAAAAAAATTGCGAATCTAACCACAAAAGTACAAAAATGGCGAAGTTTCCTCTTCATCCTGCAAAATCGTCAGTTTGCAGGTAGGTGGTATTGTTCCTTAACCATCAGTATATTCGCCTGTGACAACCTTACGAGCTTAACCAGGTGCATGTGAACAGTGAAAACCTACTTGTTAGGCTCAGGAGCCCAATGTTTCCTCTCAGTCCTGCAAAATCGTCAGTTTGCAGGTAGGTGGTATGGTTCCTTAACCATCAGTATATTCGCCTGTGTCCACCTTACGAGCTTAACCAGGTGCACGTGAACAGTGAACACCTACTTGTGAGGCTCATGAGCTCAATGTGGCACACAATGAGCTAAGGACACTTCTTGAATACATGGGAGGATGGATTTTTAGGTGCCGCAGTGGCAGTTCCAGCAGCAGCAACATTTGGTTCAGCAATCAGTGACGTGATTTATGGTGCCCAGATCAATGCGAAAAGATGGCCTCCAGAGGAGTTCCTAAAGTTGTCTTCCAGAATAACGGCTGCGAAGAAACCTAAGGCAACGAGTAAGCCTAGGAGCCCCGCAGTCATTTTTGAAGGTGTGGGAAGGAAAGTCGGTGAACTGAGCAAGATGATCAGAGACTCACTCGGGGACTTTGTTGAGCTTGTTATAAACGTTAGAATAAGTATTGCCGAAGATTTCATTGTTGAAAGCTGAATCTACCCTAATTCAGGCGGCCTTAGCTAGGAGTGGGCGCTGTAGTGCCGAAACTAGGGAGCAAACCTTACGCCTCGTTGTTTCCAGGGTCGATGCCGACAGGACGGAAAGGGAATCCAAGGAGGAGATGGCATCGGGAGAACTACCTGTTGTCGCGGCGAAGTTAGAGCCGCCAACCGGAACTGGAGGACGGATGGTCTGGCTCAATAGGAAGAACATCAATTCTGCTAGGGTGGCTCTGACGAAAGGTACAGTCTAGCGTGTTCGGTCAGAGCATTTATTTGGGGGGCAACTTTAATGTATTCGAAATGTCGCCAGCAAGACCATGTGCTGTAAAATCGCCGCAGTGACACTGACCTGCGGACGAACAATGCCGCTGACGGTGCAAGAAGGATAGACACTTCGCTAAAGATGCCCCAACACCGCGAGAAATGCCGACCTAGAAGCAACCCAAGCACGTGGTCACAGTTGTCCACCAGACGCAAGTGTGATAAGTAGAGTTATTTCAACTAAAACTGATGGTTGGCTCGCCAGATTCCTACCACCAAGTCCAGCAGAGAACAGCCGACCAGTACGTTTACTTAAGTGGTGTAAGCTCCAACAAACCGGACCACGACCTTAAAGTACAAGCACCGGGTGGGCAAGTGCTCAATTTTCTCTACCCAGACCTACTACTCTGATAAGCACAGAATATCTTGCTGTCACCGTACAAAATTTTACCTATGCACAGGATGTGAGATTCTAGCAGCACACTCTCTGCGAGCCTCGGACGATTGATTTATCATTCCTCAGTTTCCTGTCGACTGGAACAAAACAACAGCGATGACGGTCATGGTTGACCCAGCGACGATGCAGGCTACCCCCTCCGCGACGAGCAACAACTTTCGGAATGGAAACATTTGAAATACAACTCTAGTTTCCTCCACAAAGGAGGAATGCAAGGTAGTAAAAAGAAACTAGGATAAATACAACGACAAGGTTCCTGGCTTGATAATTTCCAAAGTCATTAATTTCAGAATATAGCGTATTACTGGTGGTGCAAACAGCGGCGGAGTGTTCCGCCGAACTGGTTTTCCCCCGTGAACCAAACGAGCTATTTGGAGAGAGATCCCATGATGGCGAAGGGAGCCATCGATGGATTCAGTGGTCCAACAGAAGCGCTGCTGCTGAGCCCTGCCCCCAATTACAAGGAGATATCGAAGGGAAGCGTATTAGGTATTCTGTAAGAAATTACATTTCTTCTCTGCCCAGTTCCAGGAAACTCAAAATATGTCGTAGCCGGTTAAGAAGCAGATCAAGCAGATACCTGAGAAGGGAGGGTACCCCCAACCCCCTCCCTAGTTCCGCCCATGGCTTCATAACGTCACCAAAACTAGTGGGCACGCACCCCTAAGGAAGGGCTCTCTTCGACCATTAGTGATTATATCCATGAAAATATCCCCGCTCCGTCAACGGAATTTGCCCCTTTTGAGGACCTTCACAGGCAGCGAGACTTACTTATCCCTAAAAAGGACGACCCCTCTCAGTCATCGGGATGTGCCCGTACAAATTGTCCTCCAATATTAGAAAGACCCACCAAACAAGAGCTCCCTTATAAACCTTTAAGAAGGTTCTTCTGTACACAGTCCTTCTCAGCTGCCGAGTTGGGAGTTTTCCGGGAGGAGAAAGGGGGTGATGGGTGGGAAGAAGATATCGCGAGTAGAGAAGGAAATCAAAATGTCCTTTAAAACGATTAAAAAAGTAAGATCACCTCAATTTTGACTAATACACACCCCGGTGTAAAGTTTATCAACGGTTGGCGAGCTCACTCACGTCAAAGGAAAGAAAATCCAGTTCCAAACGCCCCCAAGAAAGTGCCAAAACTTAGTCTGTATCGATGGAATAAATGGTACCTAACGGTAGAGTCAGTCCGAGGCTCTCGTTTTAATTCTCATTGTGGCTCCTCATTACCTAATAGGTACCCTATCTCCATACATATCTATACTATAAGCTCTCAAGCCTCCTAATTTTGCGAAACTGGTAACGCTTAGTTCCAGCGTTCTACCGGGCCAATTTTTATGATTTTTGCGGCTATCGACGGGCAATTGTCTCTAGATAAGCCAACTCTTTTCAGATTTTCAAAATATGGCCTAGGTTTTTTTATATTAAGTGGTAAAGTTGCGAATTCTCCCATTTAAACAATGTAAATTTATATTTTTTGTCATAGTTCGTTTGAGCGTTCTACCGGGCCGATTTCTAAGTTTTTTGCGGTAATCGACGGGTAATTGGCCCTAGATGAGCCCGCTCTATTCAGATTTTGGAAATAGGACCCAGGTTTTTTTACAATCACGTTATAAAAGTGAGTGAATTTTCAGAATGCTCCGAGACTGCTACCGCTATGCGCGGGAGGATGCGCAGTGGTCGAGGAGGTTGCGCAGTAGCTGTGTAGCCTGCGCATCAGCTCTACACTTATCTACACAAGATTCGCCTCGACTGAAGCAGGTAGAGCGGTGGCCGAGTCGTCAAAGACGTCGGAAGCGTCCACTTTAATCATGGTGTGGGTTCGATCCCCGTCTCCCGAATTTCTTAATTATTACCTGATTAGCAATGTTCGTTGTTTTACTGCAATATTTCATCAAGTAGTCATTCCAAAACGCGTCCTTTAGACTTCAAAAAAATAATTTTGTTTCTTTATTCATCAAAACCAAAAATTATTTCATTCTAAAAGTAAAGTATACCTTATATCGTAATTTTTTAGGGGAAAAAATAAAACTAACACCGATAGGAGGGTAAAAATAGGGCCGCGAAGCGGCCCATTGATGGCGCGGAGCGCCTTCAGGGGGTTGGGCCGCGTAGCGGCCAGGGGGCGTAGCCCCCTAGTATTATACTATCCTCCTACAGTGTAAATGGTCGAAAATAGTTCTGAAGGGATGAAAACAACTCTTGTACATTACTTTATTACAATTTATGAGATGCACTAGCCTCCTCAGCTTCGGAGGACCTGTTCTGAGGTTGATCAAAAACTGAAATGCGATCATTTTGCTGCGCGCGGCGCCTCAAAACTTACTGCGCCCTGACCCCCCCCCCCCCCTCTTTGGGTCAAAAGTGGAATTTTCTCGTTCAAAATAAGCCTCTGGATGACTTCCCAAGCGATGGTCAGGTCGGAAATCATTTCGGCGCATTCTACAACCGATAACGTAGTTCCGGGAATGCCTATTTTCTCCCCCATTTAAACAAATGTAATTGCTTCCAAAATTTGCATCGCTTTGGGGGAAAGTGTAGACTTCAGCTATGGTGCTGAAACTTCAGAATTATCTTTTGGGGACCAAAAGGAATGGGAAAAAGCCCGGGGAGCAAGGTTTTGAGATGGTTGTCTAAAAACGGAACACCCTACTATCTCCCTCCACGTACTAAAATCGAAAGGCACATCGGAGTGTGGGTGAAAGTACGCCCCTCGCTTCACACCCAATTTGCTACCTATTTGTTATGAAAGTTATGTGAACTGGAAAAACGTGGCGCATTCTTCTGACGGTTTTTAGAGCGATATACCTACCTCGGCGAAGCTAGATCATGGCCCGACGTTGCAGTCGCCGCATGGTACTGCGATGAGTGACGCAGTCGCGGACGACTTTTTTTTACGGGGAACAAACCCTTCCATGTGATCGTACTATTTTTAAAGTTTCCCCGGCGCCACCGCTTACCGTTCGAGCCCGAAATCTCGCACATCGCAGCGATGTATCGACGCGCCCGTCCACGATCCGACGCCTCACGGATCGAGGAATCGCAACCATACAGATCGAGAGAATTATATGGTAAACTATCGACGGGCCTCCTTCAAGCCGACCAAATGTAGTTCTGGCCAACAGCGGTGTAAAACGTTAAACCATGTCGGGAAAATGGGTCCTCTCGATGTTTGAAACGGGTTTCGAATGAAGTTCTCGGTGACATGGTTGTCCTGTGAATTATGTGATATTCCCTGTCGTGGATTATTTCTTAACATCCAAAGAATGGAAGTTCAAGTCGTCCAACAACAGCTCGAAACTGCTGCGAAGATCATATTGGTAAGCATCTTTCGAGAAAATTTACAAGTGACTTATTCTCTATTTTTCGCGAATTACTTAACGCACATGAAACACAAGGAGTGAACATTGAATGCCTATTTTTCAATGCTTTCACCAGATATTTACTCAAAGTGATTGTCAAATATTTACGCTGCTTCAGAATATTTCAAGGGCTGGATGAAAACCGATTGCCACAGCTTCGGGATCAAGCATCCTAGATGAACTTCCAGCAGGAAAGCGGAAATAAAGGCAAGTGGGAGCTCACCTCAGTGTAGGTGTCTAGGTACTTGCACGTCGATAAGGAATTAATAGTTAAGACGCAGTTCATGAGACAATCGGCCGATTCTGTATGAAACGAGAGCAAACTGCATCATCTTGTTTTTTCTATGTTTTGTATTCTGTTTAATAAAATCCGAGGAAAGAAATAATTATAGGTACTGAATGAAATAATTGAAAGCGAAGCGGTGGTGGTTCGCAGAAAGCTTTGTACGTTCAAAGTTGCCTTCTTTGCACCATTGCAGTTGCAGCGTTGCCATTTCACCTTGAATCCACTTGAACGTTTTTTTATTATAAATTACAGGAAGGGGGTTATTTTTAATCGGGTTTGATGAGTTCTGGGTGGAATTTTAAATGAGCTTAGAGGGAAATGCAATTCTCGTTGTTCATTTCTATGTCTTAGGCGGTTTGGAGGGTAGTTAAATTGTATTTTTATAAATCTGAGAAAAAAATTGTGAACACGACGTTCCCAGATAGCACACGGTCTGTTCAATGAATATCTGGGGGAAAATACGGATATCCATAGGATATCTAGGTAGGTAAGTGGCCACACAGTCAGGGCCGGATTTACCTATGGTGCATCGGTGCAGCTGCACAGGGCGCCAGATTTTGGGTTTTTTTCCAAACTCTGCAAATAATTGAGAATTGCGTCGAAAGTTCAGAATTTCTGATTGTTGATTGATTGTATTGCGTTCCATCATTTAAATGACTTGACCCTAGACTTTAAGGGTCAAACTTTCTTTTAGTTTCGTAGTTAACAGGAACAGGTACCTGGTTTTGGTTTCTGCCCCAGAATCATTCACTGACTCGAAAAATTCGTATTTAGTTAGAGTTAGCACGTAGTAACTAAAGAAGTCCGTCGGGTTGGGAAATGCGCGGGCGGGGGTGGGGGACGTGCGAGGGGGGCGCCTCGAAAATTTCTGCACAGGGCGCCAAAAACGTAAATCCGTCCCTGCACACAGTCTTTGTTTTGAATATCCGTAGGATATCCGTAGACATCCTATGGTTATAGGTATTCTACGGATGTTCAATTTCCGATGTTTCAGTAACCTTCACGAAACATTCTTATATTATTCGGTCGAAAGCAGTGTTCGAAGCTCACCCGGGAGTTGCAGGAGGCCATTAAAGATCTTTTAGGGGCCAAATTGACTTTTTGCCTATGTATCACGGTGCATTTAGTGACAAGTTAGACGCAAGATGCTTCAGTTACAGAACTAGCAGCTGCTCCTCGGGGGAAATTTCGAAAAATCACCGCAAACAGAAAAACTAGGCTTTTTTTATTTTGAATAAAGGGAGGGGGCAATTGTTAGGGGCCACGATGGCGCAGAGCCTTCATCTTTTAGGCGCCATGACCGATTTCTAAGGCGCGTTGGTGCCTGTGAGTTTCGAACATCTATGAGCATCATAGGTACTCACTTGGAGGTGCCCTCCTGGCCGCTCTTTACTGGCAGTGTTAGACGCCCTCATCAGATGTTTGGATCGTTGTGTGTTTATACATGACCTATGTTTACTTGAACTGATTCATTGTTATTTTTGGGTGTCATTTACCCATCTTTCAGTCAAGACAAGGTCTCGACTTTAGAATGAGATGACTTTGAGAGTAATTGATGACAATTTGAGAATATTTCTGCATGGAAAAAAAATATTTGCTGTAATGGCAAAAAATTGTTCGCGATTTCTGCAAATTCGCTCTTTTTGCTAAAATGCCCACCCTCGTGGCGAGAATGACAAAACAATTTACAGAAGTAGTACTGTAATATGGGGTGAATGGGGACGTTTTTTTTACAAATGCACGTCTGTGGCCTACTGATTTCGAGAATCCCGGTTTTTTTTTTAACAGGAAGTGGTGACCTTTCAAGTCCTTTACTTTCCCCCAAAATCGTGATGATACGAAAATTTTAAGTATTGTAAATTTTGTTTTTCACCTTCTCTTCCTTATTCATCTTCCATTGGGGTGAATAGGGACACCGGCAGATTTCAATGTAAATAAGGCGTTGTCCCCATTCTGCTAACTGGAGAGTGGATGGAGACACTACCGGAGTTTTAAAGAAAAGTGAAATTCGAATCTGAAATGGATAAACATGTCTTTATTTAACAAAAATTAAGTAATAAGAAGCGAACAGATGACAATATTGTCCTTTACGCCCTGATCATTGTGAGATCTGAAAGATAAATTCCTCAATTAAACTAGGGAAGTATTCAAAAGTCTCAGAATATGAAATAAGTACCTACATAAAAGTATTCCAAAGGATGTGATAAGAGGCGGAAAATTTCAAAGAAAGCCCCTCCCCTGTGCCTGAATCTATGATACTCAGACTCCCAACCGCTCGTTTTTTGGAGAAAAACATTTTTTAAACCACCTAAATATCGAGCAAATTTCATCATTTTTGGTGATGAGCAAGGTAACTTATGTTGTCAAAATGTGATAACATAAAAAAAAAAAAAAAAACTTTTCTTTAATTCGTGATCCGTTTGCATGGGACGTTATTGGTTATAGTACGGTGGGTACGATCAAAATCGACGATTTTTTGATTGGAAATTGCCACTTCGGGAGGTCATACTAGATGAAAAAATAAAAGTTTTTGTCCGTAGAACCACTTTCAAATCCGTGCAGGATCCAAGATGGCGGCCGTTAAAGATGGCGGCCAAGCGCTTTTTTGAAGTGCTATATCTCTGTTGCTAATTGTCCGATTTTGATTTTCTTTTTTTTAA